AATCATTGATTTGGACACCGAGGACGGAGCTTCCTGGAATACATTAAGGAATTTAAAAAATAATACGCCTGAAAACGCCACTCCAAAAAACTCAAACATTTTACACACAGCCGAGGACAAAGCATTCGCAGAGCATTTTGCAGTGAAATTCACTCCCAACGTGCGTCCGTCACATTTATTTCACTCAACTGATTAATAACGAGGCCGAAAATTGGTTACAGCAACCCACTGCTAGGAACACTTCAGGAAAAGAGAATCTCGCAACTACCAATCAACTTTATTTCGAAAATCTGTGGAATTTACAACGCTAGTTTATACCTTAGTTACTTTCTGAATGACTGAAAGAAGCAACAATTATCCTGATTCACAAATTAGGGGAAAATAACTTAAAATCTAAAAAATTCAGACTCTTTAGACTGGTTCCGTCGCTTGGTGCATCATCTATAAGAGGTTAGAACGTGCTGTGTGCAAACTTCCTTATCAATAGTTTGGATTCCATAAAGGTTTATCCACCATCATGCGTATGGTATGGATTGTAGAATTTCTGAGCGCCGCTATTCACAAGCATCAAAACGCATTTGCAAACTCACCAAGTTCGATCTTAGAGATTCTTACCATTCCCTCACTTCTTACTAACAGAACCACCAGCGTCAAGCTCGGCAAGCGCCACTCTGTAACTGCCAATATCCTAGTTGGGGTCCCGCAAGGGTAAATTTTTGGCCCAATTCTCTGTCTAATTTAGGTCATGGATTTCCCCATGTTTAATGATAACATCAATTGTATAACAGCGTGCTCCGCCGATAATACTGCGATACTTTCGTGTTCGATGAATCCTGACATTGCTATAGCTCGTATACAAGGTAGAATGCACGAGACAGAGGACTGGTATATAAAAATGAGTAAATGCTTAAAAATCTAAATTGTTGATCATTGGCCGTCACAGGAAGAGGAACTATGATGAAGAGATCACGCTTTTCAAAGAAACTGTACCCCAAGTTACCAGGGTTTCTTATCTAGGAATGAGATTTAATACCACACTCCCGTCGAAATCATACGTCTCGTTTGTTTCTGGCAAAGCCACTGGAATTGCCAAGAAAATAATTTGTCTCCTTGACACTTCCTCTCCGCTTGAACTCGTGCGGAAAAAGCGGGTTTATACCGCAGTCATTCGACCCATTTTGACGCTGTTCAAAAAGCATCAAACTTAATTTTTCATGCGTAAATCAATGAAGCTCAGGAGAATTTCTTCAGTGTAAGATGTAGAGGGGATAGGCATGTGTATTCTGCAATTTTTTCCTGCCCGTGGAAATCGTCAGTTGCTGGCAGTCGACCAACGAGTGAATACGTGTATTGAGCGTTCGCGGATTTCAGTGTTTATGGAATAGTTAGAAAATGACTGAAAAACTTGAACAGCGCTATTGCATCAAATTTTGCCAAAAGCTTAGAGATATCCAAGCAGAAACCATTCGCAAGATTCAACAGGCTTTCAGAGACGACGCTATGAGGACCTCTCGTATCAAGGAGTGGTACAACCGCTTCGCACATCAATGGACTTCAAGTAAGACCTCAACAAGCCGGGATGACAATGTAGTTGAGCAAGTGTGGACTCTGGTCTTGCAGGATCGTCGTATCTCAGTCCGAGAAATTACGAACAAGACAAAGGTAAGCATCATAACGGTGCATTCAATTTTGCACGAGACTGGGCATAAGGAGAGTGTTCGAAAAATTTGCACGGAAGCTGCTAAAAATGGAGCAGAAGCAATGGCGTATGGACATCCCACGGGACATACTGGACAATGCCAATAGTGACCCCAGCTTTCTGAACACAGTGATTACCGGTGATGAAACACGAGTGTACGGGTACCTTCCAGAAACCAAAATGCAGTCATCACAGTGGCAAGATCCGTCATTCCCGAGATAAAAAGAAAAAAGGTAGGTGCACAATTAAAGTTCTGCTGGCCTTCTTCTTTGACTCCCGTGGTGTGGTATGTCACGAGTACGCCCGCAAGGCTAAACGATTACAAAGGAGTACTACCAGGGGGTCCTTCGTAGCCTTCGTGATGCTGTAGAGCGCAAACGACGGGATTTGTGGGCAGCGAAAACTTGACAGCTCCATCATGGCATTGCAACTCCGTTCTGCGCTTTTGATTCAGGCCTTACTTACCGAACATAACATTCATGTGGCATTCATCAGGCTCCCTACGCACTCGACATGGCTCCGTGTCATTTTTGGCTGTTTCCCAAACAGAAAATGCTGCTAAGAGAGATCCGATTTGAGTCAATAGAAAACATCGTGCAGAATGTGACGGAACGATTGCTCACCATTCCACGAATTGCGTTCCAGAGGTGTTTCCAACAATGGTGGGAGCCCTGGGAGAAAAGTATTCATTACGAAGGAGACTGAAGGGAATTAGTGTTTCGGATTTCCAAATAAACAGATGTATTTTTGTCAACCAAAGGCTCGATACTTTTTGAACAGCGTATGCTTCACCCGCCTGGTGCGGTGCTTCAAAAATTAATATAGCTGTGCAAACCTTTCAGAACAAGTTTGTCGGTAAAAACACCCGACCATTCTGATTTGTATTTATTTGCAACAAACAACTAAACAAAGACCTCAAAACTGATGACTTAAAAACTTTTATCAACGAATTTTGTTCCAGTTTTTTCACGAAAAAAATTACCAATGATATAGTAAACTATGCTGACGATTTCATATACGAATTAATAGATAATGATGTGAATTTAAGAACCTAAATTGTTTCAGAACAACACATAGACATTAATTTGCCCTCGTTTTTCGTCACTCTAATTTTATCTAAACATTTTTAAGTGTCTTATCACACAGCACACGAAAACTAGCATAGACCAAGGCGTATATTTTTATCTACCTGAAATCCACCGTTACGATCCCACCCATGAAGTTTAATATGTGAGTCTTAATATGAGGTCTCCCCTAATCGGGATATCTTTAAGGTGCTAGTAATAGAAACTATTCTTAGTTCGTTTAAACTAGTATACACAAAAAATATTCGACATTTTTCTCGATACCCACTCTAGCTCCCGTTCCTACGGATTTACTTGTTGAACATCCCACAGCAAGTGCCGATGAACTCACTTTTCATCGAAGCTGGCGAAACTGCTCATCGCGCTATAGAACAAACACGCAATATTACAAATCTACTTAAGGATGAAGGTTCTGAGTTTTTTAATATGGCCCTGAAAGCCTAAACTGATTATTAAATCTATTTAAAATGGACCACCACGCAATATTGTTCGTATGCCATTATTTAATTTTGTCACAGCTCAGTTTGAAATGATTAATTTAGGGTACAAAATATTTCTATTAGTAATTCTCCAGTCATGAGTCTACTGCAGCCTGGTGTTTGGAAGCAAACGCTTTTTTTTTTTTTTGGTTGACTAACAATTTTCACAAATCTTATTCTGTTATTCGGGCCAGTGAACATGATTTTCTTTCTTTTCCTTCGGCTGCGTTATTCGCGATTGCTGAGGACAAAACCTGCTCTTACTTATATTGCTCTGTACGGTATGTATACAGTTAACGTTCATTTACAGACCTTAGGATGGAGCAACAGCCTAATCTCTTTTCTGTTCTAAATAATATCAATCGTTTCTTTTTCCGTAACAACAAAGAATGATATGCATGCATAAAAAAGCACATGATAAAGTAGCTTTGCCCTCTTTGATTTATAATATGTTCTAAACTGAAAACATATTTTTCATAGCTTATAAAGAATTTTTTCATTCCTCACCATGTTAACTGATTGTGTACACATCCGAAGCACGTCCGGCTAGCAGTCGGAAAGACTGAAGTTCGAAATTTTGGCGAAGACATTGCTGATTCTTCATGTTTCCTGGCTTCAAAAGATTTTTGAATCCCTCTACACGTGGCGCCCGAACTAAAATGCGGTGGACGATAATTTATCACCAACTGGATTTGGCGACCGTGTCCCGTCTTTCCCAGTCTCAGTTACGGCGAAGGCGTTTTTCATTTTTCTTATTCCCTGCTCCGAAATAAGCAAGAGGACTGTACAAGGTTGATGCTATTTCAAGAACTCCATAGGATTTTATACTTGAGTACTGAAAATGAGAATACTTTAAACTGTAAAATTAGGCGCTGGAGCATGAAACTGACAGAATTTGATGAATTCTGCTGTCACCAATAATGAAATGGAATCTACGAATGTGGAAGAAAGATAAAGGAAAACGTATATGCGATGTTTTCATATACGCTATGTCCTTATATGCTAAAATTTACATGCTTCGTTTACCATATTTCATGCTATGTTTTGAATGAATTTCTTTAAGTTGTAGAGACATTGGGTATTTTGGAAGCAGGAAAGATGAAAAATTAACAAACCTTCGCCGGGAATCGAACCGCGGATCTCTGGAATACCGGCCCAGTGTGCAGACCACCACACCACGAAGGCACGCCAAGAAGGTGGGAGAAATACCTTATATACTCCCCCTTTTAAAGGGCGACTGGGGTTTTTAGGGGACCCAATCGCCAAATCCTGGGTGTGGAGAGTCATCATCTACAACCCTTTTAGTTCGGGCGCCCCTGTAGAGACATTAGGTATTTTGGAGGCAGGAAAGGTGAAAAATTAACAAAGCCTTCGCCGGGAATCAAACCGTAGATCTCGGGAATATCGGCCCAGTGTGCAGACCACCACACCACAAAGGCACGCCAAGAAGGTGGGAGAAATACCTGATGAAGTAAAACAAAATAAATATTACTACATTTACGTACAAAAGAGGTTTAAAGTTATTCATAATACTGCTTGAAACAGAATAGAACTATTAAATGCAAAAAAAAGCATTGAAATAAAATTATTTTTTTAAGATTGTGCTTTGCAAAGTTAAAATCTCTATAAAATTTTCTGAATTGATATCCGGTGGGTATGCAATAACAGTCCGAACTACTACTGTGTCTTAGCAACAATCTTTTAGAGGGTAATAAAAGTGTTTTCTAGATGACGTATCTGCAGTGAATTCATTGCCTGCAAAAGGTTTCATGTCATGCTCAAAAAAAGTGTCAAGGGAAACGTCGCATTCAAGATGGTTGCATTTATTTTCTTTGTGCTTACGTTCTTGATTTATGGTAAGCTTGCTTGGGCATTTCCCATTTTTTTAGCTCTTTATTCTTAACTACAATATCTGCTTCTTTGCTTCTTTATTCTTTTATCTCATACTAATGTTGCCATAGATTATTGTAGGAAAAGTAGTTTTTCTTTGTAAATTTTCATTAAATCTCGAACTCTAATAAACGCATCTCCGTTAACTTGTTTGTAAATGGAAATGAATGTTTTGAATGTATCATAATTAAGAAAAAGGTTTGAATTGAGTTTTCTTAGCGGAGAATAAATGTGTGTATATATTTAAAATAAACATCTATGTGTCATGAAGATGTGAGAAATTTAACAGACACCTAGTGTTACAAAACGATGAGGTGGGGGGGAGTTACTTGTTTAGCTTAAGTCAGTGAGCTGTACATAGGAATTTCTAACTACTAACAACTATTTAAGACTTCTTATAAAATATTTAAACCATTTAAAACTATATTTCGCCTTATAACTATATAAAGTTATAAAGCCTTATAACTATTTAAAATACGAAAAAGTATTTTCTGAAAGACCAGAATTGTTAAAAATGCTGGTGTATCAGTTACGCAGTAATGCCTAAAGCAATATACAAATTTTTGCATTATGAAAGGAAATTGTGCTAAAACATTTTTCACAATGAGAGTCTAAATAATTCCCAGGCATGAATAATTTCGTAACTGGAAGTTGTAATATGAAATCTCCTGAAGAAGAAAGATACCTGGAGGTAGACCGTTTGATTATGAAAAAAATTTTAAGATTATTTTTATTATTTATTGAGGTTATATAATGTTTGACATATCCGAAAATCCTTGTAAATGTGTTGTCTTTTATTTTTTCTACCCCTCCGTCAATTTCGGATTATGGTGCAGGTGAGGGGATTGCGTTTTTTTCAGTGTTCTGTTTTACTTCAATAATGATTGCTCGCTAATTTTTTTTTAAGTTAAAGGAAAAAAAAAAAAAAAAAAACCCCCCACCCCCCCCCCAAAAAAAAAAAAAAAAATCGGGCGCGATCATGCACTCCTTTCCACGATGAATTTCTTAGGCTTATTCTAGTCGTACTCTCAGACAAGTGAGATAAGGCACAACAAAAAACACATGAAATACTTTTAGCGGTTTATATAGCATACATCTTCCAACCACGGTGAACGGAAACCAAGCCAAACTGCCAGTACCTCTCGGCTATAGCCACTCGGCCACTGGTCGATGTGGGTAACTGAAGTGGGGTTAAGTAAAATTATGCTGTGTGCCGAATTTATGAACTTGTGAAGTTGAGGTTCAATAAAGTCGGAAACATGAAACTTCAAAGATTTTACTAATTAATGAAGGTAATGTGATCCTTAGCATATAGGATACTCTGAAGTTGAGATGTTTCAGTGTAATTAAATGAGAGGAACTCTTGTAACATATTATCATTTGAAACCTTCTCAAGCAGCTTTTCTAAAACTTTTCTCAGCAGCGTAACATGATCTGTATGCATACAATTTCATGCACAAAATAGGACCTCTCATCTCGTTTAGGATTAATAAGCAATTAACTGTCGCTATAATGTATATATACTTAGAACAAATCTGGAGCATTTATAACGCTAGAAAATCGCTCAATATGCATGTATGACACCATTAAATTTAAAAAGCATCCATCACTTCGTAAGCACTTCATGGTATCAACTGAATAAAATTTCAAGTTTCTCGTAAATGTAAAAAATAAAGTAAAATAAAATAAATTTGTTTAAGGCGAAACAATTGCTCCGGAACGGATGTTTGAAATATGAAGGTCTTGAATGCCAAGCAATCAGTCATGCATGACACTAATACTGCATCAAATGATTGATTACTGGAAGCAATCGAGTGGTCAAGGTCTTATGATATTTTATTCAAAATTTTCCTATTTTTTAAAGTACTGTTATCCTTGAAACTTACAAAAATTCAGCTTCTTTAGATATCATTCCGAATTTCGTTTTTCCGTAACTTGAACCATAAATGTACCTGCGTCAAAAATAATTTTAACTTTGTATAGAATGTAAACTTGCGACAGTAGTCCGTAAAGATACAGTATAAAAAGTAATTGCATGTGTTACTATTCACAGGTTAATATTGTAAGTGTTTGGTGTAATTTCATTGTATACTGTTAATTACGTTATAAGGTATTTCTCCCACCTTCTTGGCGTGCCTTCGTGGTGTGGTGGCCCGCACGCAGGGTGCATATTCCACGGTTTGGTTCCCGGCGAAGGCGTTGCTAATTTTTCATCTTGCCTGCTTCCAAAAATACCTAATGTCTCTACAGTGGCTCCCGAACTGAAATGCTGTTGGATGATGATTCTCCTCAGCCAGGATTTGGCGATTGAGTCCCCTAAAATCCCCAGTCTTCCTTTAAAAGGGGGAGTATATAAGGTATTTCACCCGCTTTCTTGGCATGCCTTCGTGGTGTGGTGATCTGCACGCTGAGCGCGTATTCCAGAGGTCCGCGATACGATTCCCGACGAAGGTGTTGCTCATTTTTCATCTCGCTTGCTTCCAAAAAATACCTAATGTCTCTACAGTGTCGCTCTAACTAAAAGAGTGGTGGATGATGATTCTCCTCACTCGGGATTTGGCGATTGGGTCCTCTAAAACCCCAATCGCCCTTTAAAAGGGGGAGTATATAAGGTATTTTTCCCAACTTCTTGGCGTGCCTTCGTGGTGTGGTGGTCTGTACGCTGGGTGCGTATTCCAGAGGTCTGCGGTTCGATTGCCGGCTAAAGCGTTGCTAATTTTTTATCTTACCTGCTTCCAAAAATGCCTAATGTCTTTACAACGTTATTAAAGAATTTTGATTATAAAAGTATTATGTGTTGCTCTTCTTTTCATTATTATATTTCAGAATGATTCTTTTTTGCGGCGGAAATAAATGAGTTAAAAACTCACACAGGCTCTGGTTTAATTGCACTAAGATGTTTAACTCTAGGTAATATTTACGAGGTCATAAATAACGTGAACGAAAATTTCAAGATTTGTTTGCCGATAGACAGAGAACATCCAGAAATCTCCTCCATAAGTGATTTTTAAGGAATGTTTTAGAAGATAACATTTATTTTAAAAAGTTATATCGTTTAATGGGTTTAGAGTCATATATACACTTCTTCTCAATAAATAAGCAACAAAGGCAAAACACGGAATGCAACAAAAACTATTTAATGGATATGCGGGAAATTGATATAAGAGGTTGATGTGGTATTACTAGGACACACAGCAAACAATAAGGCAAAGATCTGCAAAAACACATATATTACGACCATTACATCGCGAAAGACCAAATGGGTCGGAAGAATATGAAATGGAAGCATCAGGCTAACAACGAGTATGATACCCTCTAGCTGAAATGCATGCTTGATAACGGTGAGGCAAGCTGGCAATAGCGTCATTGATCGCTTGTAGCAATAGCGTCTATTCTTGTAGTAAAGCATGTCGGAGCTCGTGGAGGGAGCCTGGCGGTACACTGCGACCTGCTGTCCTTCGTCCCACCATGTCGGACATATGCTCTATAGGATTCAGGCCCGGTGATCTAGCAGGCCGAGGAAAATGTGGAATGGTTTCACTCTCCAGATAACTCCGCACCACTCGAGCTGTATGTGGGCGGACCTTACTGTTCATAGATATTGCGAGGGTACCCATTGCAGCGATAAAAGAATGCACAAGAAGGTATAGAATTTTGCTACGATATCGGACGGCTGTGATGGAACCACCAGCATCACGTATAGTGGTCTCTGCGGCCGTTTATTGCAATCTCAGCTCATACAAGTAAGCTCCTCCTGTGTAATGGTCTCTCTCGACGATGCTTGGCGCCCGATAACGTGTCTCTGGCCCTCGCCGTATCATTGACCTTCGGGAATTGTTCTGGTTGTTAAACGGATACTTTTCAGTAAAGAGTACATGGTCTCACTGCTCTGGTGTCTAGCTGCGATGCTCACGGTCCAATTCAACCTCGTTGTGACATGCGATGGGAACAAAGAATACAAGCCACAGGTTGTCGGGCGTACAGTTCAATTTCATGCAGTCGACAGGACGTAGTTCGGCTGGATATGGTCCTCCTGCAGCAGCAGAGACATGCGATACCAACTGTCCTGGTGTTAGTGATATACAGCGTCTTGCATAGGAAGCGATCGCCAGCTGCTGTGGTAATCCTCCGGCGTACAGACTCACGTCTTCTACAGGGGCTTTTGGTGTTTTTGGTAACGATTCCACAGCCACACTACGATACTTATTCAGCTCTCTCCCAACAGCGGATTGTCTTGCACCAGCTTGCAACATCCTTAGAGCCCTCCAACGCATTTCATTCGGCAAAGTGTCTTCAGCTCATACTTTCCGCTTTGGCTATCTCGGATCATACGGAACTAACGCTGCTTGCGAATGACGAATAGGTCCGGCATGCTCCTTTTTTAGGCGTTGTGGTGTGACTGCAGGATTGTGTTTTATGCTAATTTTGGTTACCTATTTGCATTATTCGATACAACCTCTATAAGTGAATTGTATGTTTTGATTCTCCTTTTTACCTTCGCACCTTTTCTTTTAGCGTTTGTCGCTTATTTTCTGAGCATTGAGTGTACATGTTTATACAGTTTTATAAGTTCGGAAAGCTCTAGCTGCGCGCTTGACTGTTATATTAACTAATTAATCAGTGTAGCGTTTTATGAGGTTTTAAATTTTCTTAAATATCACACTAATACGCAGCTTAAATGTAAAACTACAAACATAGATTTAGTTTAGTTTATTTGATTAAGGAAAGCACGTTAGGGCTGTCTGTCTAAAGAAAGAGATGCCTTTTAGGATTTTTTAAGAGAAACTGTCTCGTATACACATTACACATGGGAAAACCACGAAAACGCGCATGCAGCAGCCCGTTGGGTGTGGGACACACGCCTGTTTACCTATGTTAAGCACCAGGCGTCCCCGTCCTCCGTCACTTGTCACCTGTAATTGAACTCATATCGAACAACCAGTGTTTGGAGACTTCAGCACCACTCGGTCACTGGCGGGTTTGCAAACAGGAGGATTAAATATATCTCTCTCAAAAACGTAAAGACAGGACCGAAATAATGTAATATAATGCATTTATGGAAAGGGCACATTAAGATGGTACAGAATGCTACTGATAGATACTACAGGTAAATGTAGTCTCCTGGCATAAATCGTCATTCCTCATGCGGACTTTGAGTGAATGTATAGGTAGACGAATGCGAAGCTCACCGATAATGATTTCAAAGATAGAGCGTGGATAGAAACAAAGCATTTGCTCAAAAGTGTACTTAGGACTCTGTTCTACATCCTCGTGGGGATTTTGCATTCATGTATCTATGCATATCGCTCGAAAAACCACGCGGGGAATGAAGATTTACGCCAGAAGACAGCTTTTACCTAATGTGCGATGCGCTATTTCCGCGCACGCATTCAATTACAAAAGCTGCTTATTTCTGACTGATTTATGCTTTTGCCAGGTTTTTTGAGTCACCCTGTATGAAATCCTATTTTGATGCATAATTTCCTGTCCACAAAAAATTTCTGTCCTTTTGGCAGAAATTGCTTTGCTTTGCTCATGAAGAGAGGCTCGTATCTGATCGCCATCGAAATCGATAGAATTTTATTCAAAATGTATGCCACAGTAATGCTGCTTTGTTGCCTTATTTAAATTCTTACGTCGGCGTGTTTCTCTTCCAGTTTGATACAAATCATATTAATAAATAAAAGCCAGCAAACTTTAAATAGGAAAGCAATGGGGAGGGGCAGAATTCTATCTCAGTAAGCCAGAGAGAGAGAGAGAGCTAGGGATGAAAATGAAGGGTCAGAATGTTCATGCATAAATTTTTAAGATTGTTACAATCCGAAAGAATGTATTTTGCCGCTAAATCAATTTACATATGGCTCTTCTTAATTGTGGTATTATTTATGGAAAAAAGAAATTTTTGCAAAGTAACGCTATTGGTACTCAGGCGGTGTCCATATGATTACATAGTTTATTTATTTCAGAAAAGAAAGAACATACTTTGCTTGTTTGCAAAACAGTTTCTTTTCCTTACAATAAGAACATGTATTTTATACATCTCATAATAAAAAAAGGAAAGTTTTGTATGCCATTATTTGTGCATTTCGCGTACATCGATATGTGTCAAAATGATAGACATATTTATGCAACGTACATTTTTAGCTTCATAACGTATACGGAATACATAGCTGTAATAAGTCGCTTCCAAAGCTGACAATTCTTATTTAAAATCTTCGTCAAACTAAGTGTGCTTTCTTTGCCTAATTTTAAATTTTACATTGGCATGTTTGTCTTCCATTTCATGTACTGCATCTTTGAGAAACCTGCAGAAAGCAAGGTCTAGATAAAGAGCGCAAAATGCAATCGGATTTCAACCGATCCTGCGTTAAGGTATATTTCAAATAACATACTCATAAATGAAAGGAAGAACATAAGCTTTCTTTCTTCTATATCAGATGATGTACGATGCATTTGAGTATATCAAGAAATAACAACTTTGCAAGTGAATTAAATCTGCTGCTCATTTTTTGAAACCCAGCATAAAAATTCTTTATTAATGCAGGCATGTACTAATTGTTAAAGAGTTAATTAAAAGAGTAATAAAATAAACAAAACATCGTGAAATTCAAATAAATCAAATAACAAAAGGAAAAAAGAACATGGTATATCATAAATGAATGAAGGCACAGTGTGTGAGATAAAGCCGAGAGACAATCACTAGTGTGAAAGAAACTTTTAGATCACTTCACACGATTTTATTTAATTAAGCAAAAGCACACGAGGGCTGTTTCCCTAATTAATTTTAATCAAAAGTACATTGTAGGACGGAACTGGATCTTCTTTAAACCCCACCTATACTGCCACTAGTACCTCAAGCAAACTTCCGCATCAACATGTTGAGGGTCAATCATTTTGCAAAATACACTACAATCACACGATCCCCTCCAGAAATCGAACTTGAAATCGTAGAGTGCTCCAAACCGCTTATATGCACAGTACTAATTTGGATCACTTAAATTGTTCCACAAATTGTGTCAAACACAAAGAATTTTATAATCAGCATGGCTTAGTTTAGTGTACTGTAGAAATTTATATATATATACACAATAAGCATGAGTAAACATAATATTATCATTAAAATAACAATATATACTCTTACAATTATCCAAACATACACAACATAATAAAGGCTTATTATGCAGCAATCAAAAAGCATGAGGTAATTTTATGTCATTGAAGTTTTATTTCATAAAACTTGTTACCTGTTTAAATTGTTACTGTTTTGTTGAACCGCATATAATGGACCCAATGAGTTTCACTCTAGTGGACGAAGTTGCTATCAATAATGACTACTTCCCATTACGCTCCCGTTACTGCTAGCAGTAATGTTGTCTCATTGTTTTCTACCATCAGAAAGCAAGCGAGAGAGAAAACTTGATTGAATGGACTTTCGAGGTTCGTTATATCTTTACCGCTGCCTAATAATGAAAAAAAAGTTGCTTGGTGAAATATTCTGAAATAGATACGAGGATTAAATTTAAAAATAAATCTGTGATAAAAAGTATTTACATGAAGTGTACTTCTTTTAAATAAATTAACGGGGAGTTCTTATTGAAGTAAAAACAATTCTAAATCACTCTCTAAAATTAGTTACCAACTACGCACTTTTGCTTCACAAGAATAACACGTGTTCTATTTTTGAGCACAAATGTCAGTAGATGTACTGAACGTTTCAATAATAGTAGTTAGAAACTGATCATATACAGCTAATGTACCTTTTCTTGAGAGACCTTGAGACATAACATATGTTTATTATCCTACTTTGAGACATAACATATGTTATCACAACATGTATATGCATATAATATGAATTAGGGTCAAGAAACTGCAGCGAGAAAGATATTTTAACATGATAATTTGTGAACAAAATAGTTAAGCATGTATGAATTTTTACATTTACGATTTAACAACTGGCTTTTAAGACATAAAATAGCTTTAGAAACCCTCAAAAATTTAAAATTTGGGTTCTAATATCAAATGAAGGTTATTTATCGACTCCCAACCAAATTTAAATGTTGTAAAGGAAATAATGTACGAAAACAAATAAAAGGGACAATGTTTGCCTTTTATTTGTTATATACCTTTTACTTGCTTCATATTCAATGTACTCTCGATTATCCGAGTGTGGATTATCCAGTTGCGGATGTCCGTATGTGGCACTGAACATGCATGCACATTCAACGATATGCGGGAGAGCATATGAAAAACAAGTACACGCAAAGTTTCGAGCATGCTCTAAAATCCGCTGAATTGGGTCTTTAGCTTTAATTTTAACTACTTAAGCTTAGTCCTTTAGGTTTCTTCATAACTTTTGCCGAGGAAGATGATAAGATGATAATTTAATGAAGTTCTGAAAAAAGTTAACGTATTGGATTCGAATACAATGATGCTATAGCACTTCGAAAAATACTCAAATTCAGCAAACATCCCGATTTATATCGACTTCTTTGAAAACTTCTCATTTAAGCTACTGCTGGAGCAGTACTTAAAATAAGTAAGTTATTTAGACTTTTGATTTAGAATTAGAACTCCTTTTTTTTTATCACATTTATACACAAACTCGCTGAAAACCTAGCAGTCAACGAAAAGTCAGTGCAACCGTAAGAAAACAGCTAAATTCAGGGATCGATGGTAAACAACATCACTGATCTCTAAAATTAGAACATTTTCCGTTTCTAAATGGCACACACTTTCATAATTTTGCATAATCTCCGCATATTGAGCATTTTTTTGGGCAAACTTTGCATTCAAAGATATCATCTTGAATCACGTCCACTATTTTTTACGGTTTAGGTTTGGTCTCTGCACTAAATAATTGTATGTTTGACATATTGAAATTTTAAGACCTTTCAAGTTAAGTTATTGAATTTAAACGTACACTAATCATAAATTAAACTGTATAGTAAGCTGCACTGTCAACTTATTATTTTTCTAGAAAGCTGCTAATTCTCTCTCTTTATTAAGTAAAAGAGTGTTTTTAAATACTATTTTGAATATGAAAGGTATTTTATAAGAGAAGTGGAACATTTCAATATTCTGAAAAAAAATGCGTCTTTTTATTTCAGATATAGTCTATGTCTTGGGCCAGTTTAATGCTCCGTATGATTTTGCATCAAAAACACAAGGAGAGAGATCAGGTATGTTATCAAAACACATAACAATATATTTTCCGTCTTTCTTTGGAGTATAATTTGAAAAACAGTTTAGAAATATGATAAGTATATGTGTTATTAATTTGACAACAATTAATATAACGTAATAAATAAATTATATTTTCTTATATGCTTTCACAAACAAGTAATTAAAAACTATGAGTAAGCATAATTAAGGTACATTTTCTAGGAAAGTGTACTCGGTCGTATAATAAATTGATTTTGTTTATTTGAGTTATATGTTAATGAATGGGTGCATTGTAAAAATATTTACGTATTAGATTCAACTTTCTAAGTGATAGAGCTTTTGGAGAGATAGACCCGATCGAGAACTTCAGCATTTAAATAGCATTTATTAGCTTGATTTGTATAACAATTTATTTTAAAGATTGTTTATTAAAATAAGAAAGGAAGTGATTCCTTCTCACACTACCTAGATGAATTAAACCAAAATAGCAATAATAATTACGTGGACGTAATCAAGGAGAAATAAACATGATGACCGTGCATATACATTTAAGCTAGTAGAATAACTATGTCGTTCTTGTAAAATTTCAACAAAACAATTTCATTGCATATATATATTACTACACTGATGGATTCATAACCGTTGTAAGTTTCCTTTGAACCATTTATGCTACTAGAAGAGCAGTACTCTAAGTTAATTTTCTGCTTCTTTCGTGATAACTGCTAATGATTACGCCACCAGTATCAGGTGTTCCTATGTAGGGGATGAATTTCCCTGTAGGTTATATACTAACGTAACCTGTTAGCTTCTTTGCACTAGAAGAAACTTAGTATCAGAACAAGACTTATTATGCCAGAAATTAGTTTTGTCATTAATATTATTAGAATAATTCATCAAATGATAACTGAATTAGAAAATAATTTAGAACATTTATTCATTACACGTTTTAATGTAATGAATAAAAACGGAATAAAATATTCCTAGTGCAAATTCTATTTTAATTGGAGTAATCAAATGTTGAGCTTTCTCCTGTTTTTATTATATATAATTAATGAATTGATATAAGTTGTCATTGCTTCATTAACCTTTTATTAAAAATTGAAGAATGTATTTTAGATACATTTATAATGATTAAAGTGATTATGTGATTTTCTTCCTGATATCGGTTTTTATATCTTGAAATTTTCACTGTGTTGTAATCAATTAAATCTTTAAAGTATGTGTTTTATTCGCAGCAAGAGAAAACTGACTCAGAATACTAAAAAGATACTGAGTAAAAATCTGAAATAAAGGTATTCCTGCGATTTTAGAATCAATAGGCTTAATGCATAAAATTAGAGCTTCAGTAATTTGTCAGATAAAGAGCTATGAAAACTAAGTATAATGAGCAATTTAAGGGCTTTCTTATTTTGCATAGCGACACACACACACACAAAATTCACATTGTTACGTGTGTCATATGAGCATAGAATATAACTTCTAATGGATTAAGAATGTAATAGCAGCGAAATTCAACTAAGAAATAATAGCTCTGTGATAAAGAATTCCATTCTGCTCCCACAGCAGAGTAGCCAGTTCTTATGTATATTATACGTACATGTCATTATATATGTCACGAAATTGCTACTTCTTATATAATAATATATTATATATTATCATTATATATGTCACGAAATTGCTACTTCTTATGTATATTACTTTTCCCAGGTACACCGTACTATTTTTTGATAGAATTTAGTTCTGGAATTTTTGCTGGCGAATGCTTTTAAATTTTTAGTTTGTAAAAATCTCACATAGACTTCGAGAATATTTTTTTGAATGTATTCGGAAGAATCATGCATTCTCATCAAATATAAAGTTAGAAGTAGAGCTGTTAAACAAGTCGTTTTGGAAAGTACCTCCTCAGTAAACGATGCTGGAGAAATGGCAGTACATTCTTCCGATTAATACTATATTTCTAGCCAGTGCTAGCTTGCTGGAAAATTAATGAAACGAAAGGAAGTTCGTTCAAAGAACTGTTAGAACTTCAATCGTTTCTTTCTTTTTTGAGTTAAATTATGAGTGAATATTTATTACGTTATTTCTAACTTTAAATATAGGTTAGATACGTACACAGAAAAAGCGCAGATAAAAAAAGTAAGAATATTATAATGTTATACATACTGCTCATATCCTAAATACTGCTGAAGAGGAACCACCACCATTACAGCACCAGAAAGGAAAACCATAAAAATTATGAAAATTAAGGAATTGTAGATGTGGCTGAGAGATGAAAATAATTTCATTTTTTAGCACCTAGTTCCACCAGAGACAATGCGAGGTGCATAAATGATATAATTGTTTGATATTAATGCATTTTTATGGCCGCAGGAGACTTTAGAAGAAGAAAAAGAATAACCTAATATCTAAAGTTTAGGGATTAGATTAAATGGTACTTCTTTGTTATTGCGGTCCCGAGATTTAATAGCCAACCAACCGAGGGAGGTCTGACTGCATATTCTTATACTTCGCCACTGATCGTATATTAGCTCCGCCTGTGTGTTCTTATATCTCGCCACGTAATCGTATATTAGCACCGTGTGCCGTTTTGGCTTTCGCCGCATGTTCTTATACCGTTAATTTTTTATGAGGTTTTCAGATTCGCATTTGTTTATTTAAAAATATATTCGTTGCTTTTTCGTAACTATGACATGAACAATCTTTAATTTACCAAGTAATGAGGTGGATGCCATATAATGTTTTCAAAAAAGAGGTCTTTTACCTGACAAATGGGTATGTGAAATTCGCCACAACATGAAATTTCACATCAACGACGAAACCATTTGGAGGTGCAACGTTAAACATTGCAAAAAGGAGAAAGGCCTCCGTGTTAGAAACTGGTTCAGAGGCTCCAGAATATTGTTCGTCACAGCTATCAGATTTATCTATTTTTGGATTTTGGGGGAGAGGGGTTGACGTCTTTGAAATAGTGTAATAAATAGTTTAATATGTGTGAAAGTGCTGCAGTTGACTGGAACAATTGTATACGATAAAATAATACTAAGGATTCTTAAAAACATTCTTAAGAATTGACATGTGAGTATTATAGTTATTATTATACATTGCGTTATTTATTTTTACATTCGCTTTTGACGAATTTGTCGAAATTATAGCTGAGATTTTGGTGCAAGTTTAAAATCTCCAAATATGGTTGGAGCCCCTTATAACAAAGAAAGGCCAATTAAATTTTGTGGTTTGATAGCGAGACGCCTAAAGTTCGTCCGTGTGCCACCTGTCTTATTTGTTAATCCAACTGAAAAATTTTTGAACCCACAGAAATTGACTTATCATTTCACAGTCCGCTATGCGTTTAAATCGAACGTATCAGCGCTGTTCCACTTTGTGCATCCCAGTGATAGCATTCTGAGAATAACGATGAACTCAAATGACAGAAAGCGATAGCCAGAGAAGAACTCCTACTTGAATGAATTACAAGAATAGCTCGCAGTGATGCTTTCTGACTTGCTTAAACTTGGCTTTCCTATATTAAGCTCAAGAGATCCAGTAGTGTTTACACAAACCATCAAAAGACGCTTGCTTGCACGATATTGTGCTAAGAACCAGAAGATCAATAACAGCTGTGCCATTTATCGAAGCCATTGCTACTCAAGGTCATCATATTGTATATCCAGGTGGAAACAGAGGGAAGGAAAATATACTTTAGAGATGAGGATCGCGCTTATCTTGGGAGCAGTGTTGCCCAAAGATTGATCTGGAGATCACTCAGCCAATGCCATCAACAAGCTTCCACGAGGAGAACGTCCTATTTTCCTTACTTAGTATAGTGTAAAGTAGGCGGATATCCCTAGTCTTCCTTCCAGATATGGTGGCAGCTCAGCGCTTTTCTGATTTAATTGCGGATCTAATGGTGCATTCGTATTAGGTGACCAGGAGCTGTTTCTAAAAACGACAATTTTAGATCGCATATACTTGTGCTACTGTGAATAGCTTGCCTGAACACTATTGTGGCCTGCTATATCTCCAAGTTTGTCTGCTGTCGAGCACATCATCGGTCAATACAGGTCACTTAGTACGAAAGGAACAACAGCTGCCGTTCTTAATGCTTTATGAAGCAGAGTTTCAAGCGTGACAAAATATTCGTAGTTAGTGACTTCACTGCCTAAATCCTTATATGATTTATACCAATACTGAAGCAAACCAGACCTGTAAGTGTACGTACTAAATAGTTGAGGTGTTTGAATACTTTGTTTCCAATTCTTTATTATATGCATGCATTTATCATATCTATTCGTCTTGTGAATTTGGAATTTCTATAATTCTTCTTAAAGATGCAATTTTAGTGTTGTACAATATACATTTTACAAGCATTACATAATAGTCTAATATTTATTCAAGGTTACGTCGCTTAACAAAGCTTTATAAATCACGTTCTCAGTATTGCGTTACAGTACCTTAATAAGGGACTTAAAGGACTTAAAGGATGATTAACAAATGTAAATATACAGCGCAAATGATCGTACTGCAAAATTTTCCACAATTAATGATACATTTATGTAAACCATCACGTGTCGCATCCCCCTGAAGTTCACTAGGTGCGATTAAGCATGAATATTCCATCATTCTGTACACATGCTAAAATGAAGCGGTTATTGTAGTACATTAATCCGTATTCCGTGTATATGTTTTGCTTATATGACTTGTGGTGTATGATTCACTGGATACGAACCACTATTCTGTTTGCAAAAAACATTTCTTGAACGTTAGCGTATTTGAATTTTGTCTTTTGAGTTTGTTTTGTCAGTAATGTTTTAAGAGACGAACAAGAAGCTATTACAGAATTCCAGTTAATTAAAAATTCTCTAAATGAATTGATTTTAAATTTTACTTTTATAAGACTTCAATCACTTGAAAATCAATTGAAGAAAACGAATCTTATAAAGTCCAATAAGCTATTACAATGTGTAACATTTATTAGTTGGGCTAGCTCAATACAAAAGAACTTGAATCTTTTTTCAAAGTAAAAGAAAAAGCAAAATAACCGTTTATTTCATAAAAGGAATCTTCTGAAATTAATTAATATAATAAAATACGCAACAGTTAGTTTTTCAAATCGTAATTATGTGCATAAAAATGACCCGAAAAATATATCTGTAGTACAGAAAGCAGATCGAAATGTATATCGCGCAAGATGTTACAAAGCCATTTAATGAGATTAAACAATTTTGAAAAGACTGAAATAATTTAAAATACGTATTTAAAACCTTAGAGTAACAGCAAAAATGAACTTCGTATCTAAAAAATAGAATTAAATTTTCATTCAGGAAATACGCCAGTTACATTAAATACAGTTTTAAACAAATGATAATAAAAGGCTACTAATTAAATTAAAGGTGAAACTTACGAAATTTGAAATGTTCATAATATGCCTGTTTCTTAATGAAAAAAAAAAGTTTTTTCTAAATTTCCTTATTCACTGTTTGGTAATTAAATCTAACATTCAGTTCATTTACTCAGTAAATTTTTATCAATTTAAATCCATTTATCTTGTCTTCTGATTCTGAATTCTCTTAGGCTAAATTAACCCCGGTATGGGAGAAATATTTTCTCAAATAAAATGGTTAGCTTTAAACAAAAGTATTCGACATTAAAAGGAATTAGTGAGAGAATTGATTATTTAGTATTTTCTGCGATATGGGTGTTCAAAATAATCGGTTATTAGGTAAACGAAATTAAACGAAGGTGCGGGATTAATTCTGAAATCATAGAAAGTACGGATGAAATGTTAAACGTTAAGATACTTTTCGCGAGTAATTCTGGCATACATTGTTTACGATCACCTCTACAGTACTGACATTCAGAACTTTTCTCGCAAGCAAGAGCAATATAACTGAAAACTTATAAAAAATCTGTTACGCTTCTTTTCCCCTTGTAAAGTAATATTGGACATTTTTTTATTTTTGTCCACATTTTAGTGATTTAACGTTCTGAACGTGATTTAATGTTCTATTGTCCTAAAGTGACGAGGAATAAAAAAATCATAATATTTTATTAATATCTGCTTTCGTAGTACTTTTAAAAAGCAGTGTCTTTCATTACTACATTTCTGCTTTTTTTTTCTAAAGTAAATTAAAAATTTGTCATACATAAACTCTTAAACTGTGTGATCAGAATACATTAAAATGCAATTCATAACGTTTTAAAATTATATTGTTTTGACAAGTTCAGTATTTTACTACTATAGAAAAAGTATCTTCATTTTGACATTTATAAAAGTCTTAATATAATATAGTTCTTAATTTTCATTGTTCAGTATTATTTAACATTTTTCACTGCCTTTTTTAATATTCTTTTATTTTGTGAAAAGAATTTGTTATTAAAAATGTAATTTAGTTATCACTGATATAATTCACATCTTCATTTCAGATGAACTTTCTCCTGCCGCTATTGCTGGAGTAAGCTTCGCGGTTGTGGCCATCTTTGCCGCTTTAGTTGTTACGATTTTATTCTGCTATTACGTTCACAGAAAGCAGAAGCAAGAAGAACATGCATCAGGCTCTTTCCTCGCATCCAGGGCTGGATATTGACTTTCGTTATTGTCCGCTTCAGAGCAGTCATTCATCATCGTCAAGTATTCCAGAACTTCCAACAACTATCTTTGTGCAACGATTTTCCTTCTTATGAACTGCCACTATTTCTAACCGCTGCCGTCTTTTTCCTGCCACAAGAGGAATATATTTGGTACGCTGTAGAAAGTTGAAGTTTAATAAATATGCTGCTTAAATATTTGCTGCATATTTCAAGTTTCTTAAAGAATTCTTTAATTGGTAAGGATGAGCTTGCAGGCACATACTAGTATATTACACGAGGAATTGATTTCCGCTTTCGTAACAACTTTACTAGCGTTAAAGAAAGAGTTGTGGGTAGCTCTTTCTCTCTTATCTAAGCAATAAATTTCGACTGCTATTTCTAGATACTAACAAAACTCTGAATACTTAAAGTTTTTCTTTTCGTTTATATTTACGAAAAATAAAGAAAAATAATGAATCAAGGTTACAGTTCTTTCTTTTTTTTTTTAATAACCAGATTAAATACGGTAATTGTATTATATTACGGCGCTACACTTAACGTATTTTCAAGGTAAATTTGAGTTGGCATTTGACGAATGTTTTTTTTGGGGGTAGGGAAATTAAGGGCAATTTAAAGTTTGGTAGAAACGTCTTTACTTAATAGAAAGAAATATTTCCATTAGAAAGGTACTTTGTATTTTGAATTTATGTAAAAATTTTCAGCAGTTTACTGACACGTTTTCAGATTTATATTTACCGTAGAGGACTTTGACTTTTTTTCAATGCAACTAGACCATCAGAAGAATGCCTTAATTTTTAGAATGCAGAGATTTTACGCAGTTCAAAAACGGCAGCTAGTTGAGATTGACTTAACCGAAGCTCAGATTGTTCTTTTGAAGACTGCACATATTTCAATATTTTTTTTTCGGAGGTGGACACTACCGATTAGAGAAAAAATAGAACTGTTTTTGCTCCGATTCTCAGCATGCATTTATTTCCCTCTTTGAAACGGCAAAGCAACCATTTTGCTTCTCTCATTCCTACTTCTTAAACTACCTAAATTTGAAAAAACTCATTTATTAGAATTAATAAATAATTTTGCTGTGAAGGAACATCAGAACTTGTGTGAAAGAAATGATCATATACTGTTCACATTTTCAGTAACATCTTAGTTAGCTGAAAATAATTGCAAGTAGCAAATATTTTAGAAAAATTTAATATTCAGTCTAAATTTGCATTACAGCAGATTCGAAATAGTGAGTAAAGATTGTATGAATTTCTAAGACGATTAAAGGTGCTTAACAGAAATAACATCCCAAAGGTGTCACTGTTATTAATGCTTGGTAATATTCTTGAAATTGTTTCGTAATTTTACTTTTGCCTCACCAACGACCGAACGGTAAAATCGCTGAACACTAGTTCTTCTACTCGGATTGAATCCTGGCGAACGGGCTGGCTGCTGGTTGGTTTTTCCCATGTGTTGCGTGGACACCAGCCAATGACCCTTAAAAGGTCCTCCACTAAGGCATCCTCCCCATATGGAAGATAACCTTCGAATTTCTTTGCCTTAATCAATCAACCTAACCTAGTTTACTTTATCATATGGAAAATTCATATTATTGTTGCCATTCGTACTTTCGATATACCTGTTACATATAATATAAGATTGTACCCCCCTAAAAAAACTATGCAAAGTAAATTAACGGATATAGCAAGAAAATGTTTGTAAAACAATAATTATGATTTGCTTTCTCTGTAATTAAGAAAATCTAATTACAGTTTCCATATTTCTTTATCCAGCTTCCGTATTTTTATATCCTTTTTTTATCCTTATATTTTATCATATGAATCATATGAAAAAAGTTCAGCAATTAATCACAGATTAAAATGAACATGATATTTATTACGAGTTAAATTTCTGTATGTTGGTTATGGATAACATTTTAGTGCGGTAAACATTGGAATTCCTAAAATCGAATTCCTCTTTTCAATTGACACTCAGCTAATTTTTTACACATGAGGTTAATCTAATTAAAATTTAATATTATATATAATTTTCAAATCTAGAATTAAAAGAAAAGGCGTAATATGTATGGTTATGCTATTAACTGTGGGTACTGATTCATCTCTGAGTAACAGCGATAAACTACAGGACGACATTTCTTTCCGTTTTACCGCTTGCTAAAAATATTACAAGGAAGTTAAAATAAAATTCTTCTATTAACACGTCATTCTGGCGGTTGCATAAACTGAAAATTTAAGAGAAACAAAATTTCCGCTCTCTTGCGAGTTAAAAAACATGCGTTCAGATTGAATCAAGTTCAGGAAATAAAATTAGCAAGTCTTGTTTTAACCCTAAGTGCTCGCGAGGCAATCGCTGCTAGCAGAAACTTGCACAGTCAGGGTAAAATGCAGTAGCAGAAAATCTAAAGCAGATTAAGGCCAATCTATGCTCTCATACTCTTTTTTTTTTTAAATTGTAAGTTTATTAATACATTAGGCTAATTTGCATTTCTGGTGGAAGTTGACGAAAATAAAGTGATGGAAAAGTCAAAATAATAGGATAATTGGATTAACCAAAATAAAAATTTACAAGTAATGTATAAAATATCTATCGACAAGATTTGATTGACTCATAAATCTATTAAAATTTGGATTCGACTGTAAGGAAGTCTGACACAGTACTTTTTTGTTACGCGTATGTTTCAGTATTTTTCCTTTCGTGAAAAACATACACGCAAAATAAAAACGTAAAATAACATTCTTTCGTGCATTTATGGTTTAATATTGCCTTTCACTCTGTTAAACGTATATTTCCTTGTGTTTATGTTACCGACAGTGCATGAAATCCGGCGTTCTATAGAATACTTAGGCATTTTATAGCCGCACACTGGCTGGCAGTGTATAAAAGGATTAACCATTTCACACATTGCATAGGCATTCTATAAACTGCAAGATTACTAACCGACAAAATATGAAATACCTATCTATATTAATAAACAATGCCTAGGAAAAGTATATAAAAATTTGTGCAATATATTGGCAGTTGGTAATGTGTATGACAAAGGATAGTTTCTACCAACTTAGAACTTCTGAAAGAATTTTAAAGCAACTATATTCGAGATCACGGTTCATTTTATGTTCTAAGAACTTGTGTAGAATTGAAGATATTCCCTGACCACGAAATTCCTGTCTGGTCAGTTGCAGTTGCTCAATCCAATGGGTCCAAAGATTGTATGCATAAAGCAAAGTGCCGAAATATGAAATGTCTTTGTGTGAAAAACGTAACGAAGAGAAATCAAAACGTCACTCAAGCCCATCCCGTTGCAACAAATAGGTTAATTTTAATTTCTTTACTGTTTTATGAAAATTTTGTTTTCTTACAATAAGGAAGGTATAAATTTTGTTTCGTACAACTTTCATTTTTCTTTGTGTATTTTTAATAATATTTTTCAATGCCATTCTTTCATTATTTTTTCCAAAATAACATTTTTTTAAAGGAATGAACGTCTTTTAAATAACAGCTTTATTATGACCCTTTTTGCATGCTCTGCTTGAAGAGCATTTGTCATTCTAAAAAATGCCTAAGTATCATATACGGTACCTAGGTAAAGCATATAAGAATTCCTCATGTTTTATACTTTGTCTAAAAACACCAGGCATTCTATAAAATGTCTGGCTATTCTATAGAATGCCGGCATTTCATGCTTTGCCAGTAACATATGCATTTATCTGATTTAAATAAACAACCCATTTTTTATTGCGAACAAAGGACATTTACTAGAATGAACTCGAACACTTTATTTTTATTCACAAACATCTTGGAAACATTAAAACAATGCTGCTTTTACGCATTAAATAAAACAACTATTTTTTTAAATCGTTTAATAATATGTAGTCGACTTCGTAAGGTTTCTTGGGAACAGATTCAGCAAAACGAAATTTAAGCAAACATCATACCTTATTGTGCTATTTCTTACTCATTATTTGTTTCGAGATAAGGTATTTGTTGACTCACGCAAACACATCTGGAACTTTGTAGAGACAGTTAATTTCTTTGAATACTGGCTGACCGCAAGTGTTGCATTTTGACAAAATTAAGTTATGTTCTTTGCTGTTAGTTATAACATAGTTCAATGCGCTGTTTTTCTTTTTTAACTCCATTTGGAAAATGTCAACTTGATATTTAAATAGTTATAGTTCTTCAGTTTTTAATATATTTTACTTACTATGCAACTTATTTATGTTTCAGACGAAATAAAGACATCGTTATGGCACTCGCTTCTACGGTAGCGAGAGATTAAAAAATACGGGGGGGGGGTGATCCAAAATTTTAAAACTTGTGAAAATTCCAAAATGGATATTAATGGGGAATTGTTTCAATATATGACACAGCTATACTGTTGTAAGTAATACGCCACTTGAAATTTCGGTTACAATGTTAGCTGTATAAACGGTTTGATAGGCGCAAAGCGGAGATTAGTCTTTCTCAAGCAGGGAAAAAAAAAAAATTACGATTGAGTATTACTCCGCGAGACCTTATAAATTTCATCGCGGTGCCATATTTCCTGCCCTCTTTGTTGATTATCGTATCATTTTATTCCTGAATTCCTTTATTTTGTCCGAACTCAGAAGAAATAGGCGACCATTTCCTTTCTAATAGTGAACTGGTGTTTTTTGAAATCATGTTATCAAGCAGAAAATCATTGTCTTGTTAGTCTTATGAACATTTTGGAAAGTTTCTTTAAGCCACTCAACCGCATTCAACCACTTTTTCATAAGAATGCATTACGAAGTAATGTTCAATCATAAAAAATTCATTCTTCTGGGAAGAAGTCTCATCTCCAACCAAAGAAACAGTTTTTAAAACTATCTTCATAAACTGTAATTCAGATTTCAAGGGATACATTATACTTATAACAGTATATGGGTATCATCCATTGAAACAAAATATCATTATTATTCATTTTGGAGCTTCCGCAATTTTTGAAAATTTTAATGTACGCAACTTTTGAACTTGTAAGTTTGAAGAGCATTTTTATTGACATGATAATATAAATTAGTCACAGAAAAATAACGGTTAAAAAATGCATAACGCCCCCTGCTTGGGACGCATTGTTAGTTCTGCAAACGTTAAAAAACGTGTTTAACAGCTCTGTAATTGAGGTTCATTTCAAAAAGATAATTTTATCTCTGATTTAATATTTCGATTCATAA